GTCTGCACTGTGGCGAAATGTTAGAATTCTCTCTTCTAGCTTCGAAGCACACAGGACGTTATGTCTCCATCACCATCTTCTCATGCACTAGCACGCCAGAACCTCTTGCTGCTGTCTAGTGGTCACTCACACCCCAACAGTCCCTCCCCACCCCTCCCATGTCTGCTCTTCCTGCCGCTGGTAACCGTCACTGCTCGCATGTCCAGGAGGCCAAGTTTTAGTTTCCATGTATGCTGAGGCCAGTGGCACTTGTCTTCTTGTGCGTGGCTCATTTCACTTAGCACCGTGAGCTCTCGCTCTATCCATGTCGCCATGATTGAGTTTTCCTTTTTTATGGCTGAATAGCATTTCCTTGTGCATTTCCCCACATTTTCTTGTTTCCATTTCTTGCTGTTGTGAACCGTGTGGCCACGGACTTGGGAGGTCTCCTCAACACATTGGTTTCGTTGTCTTTGGACACCTGGCAGTGGGACTGCTGGATCGTGTGGTAGGTCTAGCTTTAGTTTCTAAAGAACCTTCACAGTGTTCTCCATAAGGGCTGCATTACTGACCCTCCTACCACGAGTGTGCATGTGCTCGCTTCTCTCTTCACCCTCACTGGTACCGCTGTCTTCGTCGTCTTAGAACGCCAGGAGAAGCACTAGCTACCTCGTAGTTCTGATGACTGGCCATGTTGAGCAGGTTTTCGGGGACCTGTAGGCCTGTGTCATTTGGGGAAATCTGTGTAGATGGATTGCCCACTTTTTAATGTTCTCTGGCGATTGAATTTTTAAAGATCCTCATGTATTCTGGAAACCATCCACTTGTCAGACAATAGTTTGCAGATGTTCTCTTCCCTTGGTAGCTCATCTCTGCACCTTGCTGTGGTGTCCTTTGCTGAGCAGACCCTGTTCGGTTTGATGTGATTGCATTACTCTCTTTTTGCTTTTGATTTTTGTGCTTTTGGGGTTTTGTCAAAAAAGTCCTTACTCATTTCAATGTCCTGAAGCATCTCTCACATTTTTTCTTCTACTGATTTCATAGTTCCAGGTTTTGTATTTAACTCTTTAAACCATTTTGGGATGATTTTTGTAGCTGGTGAGTGATAAAGGTCTAGCATCATCTTCTGCAGGTATAATCCATTTTCCCCACGGTGGCATTGAATACACTGTCTTTTTTCCCACTGCGCGTTCATAGAAAAATTAGTTGTCTGTGAGTTCGTGGTGTTACTTTTATGTTCTCTGTTCTATTCCATTGTTCTACGTGTCTGTTTTCATGCCAATACCATTGCTACAGATTTGTAGTACATTTGGAAGTTGGGTAGTGTAATGCCTCCAGGTTTGTTCCTTTTGCTCAAGATTGCTTTGGCTACTTGTGGTTCTTTGTGGTTCCATGTAAATTTTAGAATTGATTTTCTAGTTCTGTGAGAATGTCACTGATATCTGGATAGGGATTGGAATGACTCTGTTAATTACTTTGGATCATATGGACACTTTAACAATGTCAGTTCTTCAATACATGGACATAGGATGTCTTTCCATTTTTTTGTGACTTTTCCAATTTCTTTCAGCAGGATTTTGTAGTTGTCATTGTAGAGATCTTCCACTTTGTTGGTTAAATTATTCCTAAGTATTTTATTTTTTGATAGCTGTGGTAAATGAGGTTACTTTCTTGATTTCTATTTCGGATAATTCCTTATTGAAATATAGGAACACTACTGATTTTTGTACATTGATTTTGTACCCTACAACTTTGCTGAATTTGTTTATTAGTTCCAATAGTTTTTTGATATTTTTTTTTCTTTGGTACCGGGGATCGAACTTGGGTCCTTGCGCTTGCAAGGCAGGCAGCAGAACCACTGAGCTAAATCCACAGCCGGCATATTTTTTAACATTTAAGGTTGTGTCATCTACAAACAGTGACGATTTGACTTCTTTTTGATTAGGATGCCTGTTATTTCTTTCTCTCCCCTAATGGCTCTGAGCAGGACTTCCAGAACTTTGTTACATAGAAGTGGAAAGAGTGGGATCTTTCTTCCAGATCTTAGAGTCAAAGCTTTAGCTTTCATTTATTTTAGCTTCATTTCATTCATTTCTACTTGTACTGTTTAGTATAATGTCAGTTGTTGGCTTACCATGCACAGCCTTATTATTGATGTATATCCTTTCTATATCTAATTTGTTCAGTGTTTTTATTATGAAGGGAGGTTGAACTTTCTGCATCTATTGAGATGACCACATAGTTTTTGTCTATTCTGGTGATGTATGTGTGTCATGCTTATTGATTTGCATTTATGACACTATCCTATACTACTAGGGTGAATTCCATTTGACCATATGAAAAAATCCTTTTAATGTGCTATTGAATTTGGTTTGCTAGTATTTTGTTGAGGATTTCAGCATCAATGTTCATCAATAATTTTGGCCTGCAGTTTTCTTTTTTATGGTGTACCAGGGTAATACTGGTCTTGTAGAATGTGTTCAGAATTTCTTCTTCTTCTGTATTTTGGAATAACTAACAGGGAATTGGTATTTTTCTTCTTTAAATGTTCAGTAGAAGTCAGTAGTGAAGCCATTGGTCCTGGACTTTTCTTTGATGGGGAATTTTATTTTACACATACAAGTTCATCACTTGTCATTGATCTGTTAAGGTTTTCTATTTCTTCATGAGTCAGTCTTGGTAAACTATGTGTATCTAGAAGTTTGTCCGTTTATACCAGATTGTTAGATTTGCTGGGTTATACTGATCTTTCATATTTCTGTGTTTTCAATAGTAATGCTTGCCTCTCATTTCTGACTTTGTTTATTTGAGTCTTCTGTCTCTTTTTCTCAATCAAGCTCGGAATGTGTCAATTTTGTTTATCTTTTTGAGGAACCAGTTCTTTATATTTGTTTTGTTTTGTCTGCATTTCATGTATTTCTGCTTGGGTCCTTATTTCTTCTGCAGGCTCCACCTGTGAGCTCTGGCCTGTGTCTGCAGCCTTCAGTTCCTACTGGAGCTTGGGCAGCCTGCTCCAGCCTGTGCTGGATTGCAGGGCTGGCTGGGCAGCGGCTGGAGCCTGCTTCTCCTCTGTCACTTGAGGTTGGGGATGGGAGAAGCAGCTAGCTCCTGGCCCAGTGAGATCCAGCCGCTCAGTCCCTACGTGGCTGGCAGAGGGTCCTGGGCTTCTCCGAGGGGCCTGGCCCTCCCTGGGTGACACTCAGCTCTCTCCCTCCACCAGCGGAGGTGTCTGTATGCCAGGTGCAGCCCCTCTGTGCCTCCTTCCTTGTCCTACACACCTCTGGGTTTGGTGTGCTGAAGAGGCACCATGCCACACTGTGATTTCCTCAGCTGCTGTGCCCAGTGCGGGGCATGCGTGCTGTGTCCATGAAGAGACTCACTGATGGTGCTCAGCCACCATCCCATCCTCCTCTTCTATTTCTCTGTTTTAATCAGATTAATCCTATCGGTCTGAACAGCAGACAATGAATACTGTTTAACCTCTCATGGAGAAACATGTGTAGCAGAGTTCATTCGGGGAAAACAAACCTCCTTCATTGTTCCTTCTCTTCAGGTTGTTCCAGGTGCTGGAATCATTCAAAAAGACAGGCTTTGGATCTGTTCAGCATTCCCCCATCCAGCTCACTCCTGTGCCTGGGCTGTGTTCACAAGAGAGCCGGAGAAGTTAGGGATGTCCACGTGCAGCATGGCAGCTAAGTCACGTCACAAGAAGCTCATCTCTCTGTCTGTAACTCTGATTAATTGGCTCAGTATAAGTTTAATTAAATAAAATGATCTAGGAATCTGAAACACACACCAGAATCCCGGAATTCAACTTTGAATCACAAGAAGACAGATGCACAGGAAAGATCTGCCAAGTGAAGAAACGCATAAACCCTCACAGCTGCTACCATCAGGGCAGTGGTCTTCGCACGGTTTTGGAGCTGGCATCGTGCCCGTATTCTCTGATTTGAATCCTCGCACCTGTGCGATACGGGTGGTCCCTTGGGAGGCGGAGCTTTCACAGGCCACAGGGCTCGTCCTGCCCGGAGGAGCCGGTGCCGGGCACATGGACAGCAGGAGGCTGCACGCGATACCTCTGGTGCTTTGGGCCAGTGAAGAGATTTGGATGAAACTCTGTCCTTCCTGGCAGTCGTTCAGGGAGAGGGAAGGATGCCTGAAGGTGCTGCTTTATCTTCAGGGTCCTGAGGTGGCCCCTGAGAGCTGTGATTGAGCGCCTGGTGGGAGAGGGCTGGGGACCAGGCTGCGTGTCCTGCTGCTGCTTTGTGCTCCTCTCTGACAGGCGAGCAAGCAGGGATCGATCACAGCTCAGAAGGCGCTCAGGCTGCACACTCGGAAACACACCTGGCTGTGACGCCCAAGGGGGAGAGCCCAGGCTTCGGCCTGAGACCCAAGGCCCTTCCGCAGCCAAGGCAGCCTGCCCAGACCTGGCAGCTCTCGGGACCTCACCTGTGAGGGGCTGGCCTCCCCTGGGGTGCACAGCGGCCCTTACGCGGCCGATCTGGGGCACAGGTGGGCTGTGCTGGCTTCTGGTGGATTTGGATGGCAGCCCTGTGTACACTGTGAATTCCTTTCAGAGTTTAATTATAACTTGTAACATCGTTTGCGGGGAAAATATGTCCCAGTTTCCAGGCAGCCAACTTGGAAAGATTTTTCTGCCACCGACCTGTTTGTGAGTTGGCGACACTGGAAACCGTTTCGCTCGGCCTCCGTCTTCACCTGCAGCCGCCTGTGGCTCCTGTGAGGTAAGGCGCCTCCGGGCTGCAGACTCAGATCCTGCAGTCAAAGTCCCACCCCTGGGCTCGGCCAGAGGCTGCGCACAGGGAGACAGCTCCTGCTTGGTGACTTACTTTGTGAGGGGATAATATCACTGGCAAGGGAAGCCTGAAACTTCCTCCTTTATCACTGAATGGACAGAAATAACGATTCATACAACTTAGATTTTCAACAGTGGATTTCTTTCTTATCCTGCATTAACGCAAGATAAACCACATCCCATGTTAATTTACCTTTATTCCAAATTTAATTTCTAAAATACCCTTGTTAATATTTTACTAATGATACAATTCACAATGATGACATTACATCCATTAAGTTTTGTTTAAAATGTAAAAATACTCAAGGTGAGTAGCTGGAAGAACCAGCTGGATCTGAAAGTTCGTGGTGAGGTATTCACCTCTGCCAAAACCAAACAGCAACTGGCTTCTATGGAACATGAAGTGGAAGCTGCTAAAAGCAAACACAACTATTACAGAGCAACACCTAGTAAGTCAAGGCACTGGGCTTTCAAAATATATTCATTTTATGTGAGAAACATCTTAAAATGTGGTAACTAAAAAGGTGCTAAGGAAAGCTCACTTCAGAGAATAACTTCCTTGATGGGTCCTAGCGTCAAGAGGGACCTTCCAAACTGTCCATGGTCACAGGCCCGTGAATTCCGAGCTATCATCACTGCAGCAGGGCGTCCTTACATCAAAGAAACTGTAGAACCAGGGAAGATCCAGGCCTGAGGGCCTTGGCCTCACTTCTCCAGGCTCAGGCCACCACTCCGGGCACGGGTAGCTCAGCACTATTCCGACTTCTCTTCTGCTACCTGGCAGTAGACCTGGCGGCCTGCCAAAAAAAAAATTTCCATTTCTTTGTTCAAAAACCAATGTCTTACATCAGCACTCACTACAAGAAGAAACCAAACTTACTGCGACTTGAAGTGAAAATCCTACTTGGCCACGCAGGTGAATTTTAAAGAGGTGATAGGGTTCATCTTACCCAACAGGCAGAATTAAAGGCAGTCTCTGGAGGATCAAAGCACCTTCTGGGCCCCAGAAGCCCAAATTCTCTGCACAACAGTCAGGTTCTAAACAGACCCAGGCTGCTTGGTTTTCAGATGGAAAGAATACTTTTCCTATTTTTATCATCACAGTTTAAATGTAACTAAAAATGTCTGTACTTCTCCCAGGAAAAGGTGGATGGCGCCTATGCTACCAAGTTAGAAGGCCAAAGCTGGCATGAGTGTCCTTGGGCAGTAAAGAACGCAGGGCGTTCTGTGGGAGTACACCGTTTTCTGTACCTCAGCTGGAGTCTCGTCCTGCAGGGCTGGACAGGGGAGAAGGTGTCAGCACCACTGGGCCTGCTGCTCAGGTCCCCGCAGCAGGGGCCTGGAGCACAGGAGGCCCCCAGACCCCGGCTTGGGGCGGGAAAGGCCTCATCCCGGAACACTCAGCTGCCTGCTCCAAATAGCATTTGCCAACAGGGCCTCTGAGCTTTTATACGTAACAGATTTTTGGGATATTTTGTGAACATAGGGTAAAAAACTAATAGTTTATTTCATTAAATATAATCATGGGGAATATAAATAAGAACCAACTATGACTGTTTTTCATAGAATAGGAATTGTGTGCAGGGTGTGTGTGTGTGTGTGTGTGCTGGGGAATTTAAAAGTTCAGACTCAGTAATTAACCTGTTTTACCCTTAAAAAAAGCAAATCATTGATAATATTGGTTTGCATGTAAAAAGTAGTTGCTTCCTTATGCTAGCCTTAGTTACACTACTTTTCCATGGGCTTTGATATATGTTTTCTCCTTTAAGGATTAAGAAAGAGTTTGTGTAGTTTCTTAACTATGTAGCTGTCTCCTCAGCTGGGGAAAGCATTGGATAAGGCACTGAAAACACAGGGATCCGATATCAAATACCCACACCTTTCAGAAAATAGATCAAAATTGGTGCAGATCAGAACAAAACAGTTGTGAAAGTTCTGAGGAAAGTGCTAGAGGCATGGGCTGGTTCCAGAGAAGAGAGGGTCAGGCTAGGAGTCTTTATAGTAACCCAGCCTAAAGCAGATTGTGCTAGCTATGACGGCAGCTGACATTTCTTCATCTGAGTTGGACGCGTAAAATCTTGGTGACTTTACAAGCATTTAGATTTTTTTAAATAGAGACTTCTTCTCTCTTCTCCCTTTCTTGTTTCTTTTTTTCTCTCTCTCCCTTCCCTCCTTTTTCCTCCCTTCCATATAGTGAAAATTTACAAAGGGCCAGGGACAAAAGGAATTAGCCTGGTTCATGTTAGGTTCATTGGCTCAGGGAGGAGCTCATGAGAAGACTCCTGGCAGCTCCAACACGGTGCAAGACGCCTGTGTAGGACGTGACACGCGCACATGTGGTGGTCCAGGTCTAGACAGTGACAGCAAAGCTTTCAGAGACGAGCCCCCAAACTGCAACCCCGAACCCACTTATATCTCAAAGAACCAACACTTCCATTAAACCTGAATACCGAGGTTTTAGTTTAGAAAAAGCAACTCATACATTAGCATCTTCCATCTCAAAAGGCAAACAAATGACATGCATGCCATGGGCTCGCCACCACTGGTCTGGAACGTGCGTGCTGACGCCTGCACTCTGGACGGCCCCGGGCTGGTGTGTTGGCAGCGGGCTTTTGGAAGGAGCCTGGGTCGTGGTGGAGCTGGTGCGGACACGCTGTCTGTGTGCAGGCGGGGAGCTGGCGGTGGCTCCGGGGGTGTGACCTGGAAGGGAATGCTCCCCTCTGGGTGCCTTTCCCCCTATCTGCTCCTGCTGCCCAGGCTCCTCCGCCAGGTTTGTGTCTTGGAGCTGGTGACACATGGGCTGAAAACATAAACCACAGTAAACTGCTCCTCATCCTGCGGTGTTGGGCATTTTGTCCCAGCAAGGAGAAAGCGGCGAAGACCACACACACACACTCACACACACACACAGATACTGTGAAACACTGCGTGGGCTTCTCACAAAGACCACCTTGGGAAACTTCGTGTTTAACCGTCAGTTTGCTAACCTACGGCAAGAGGTTCAGTTCCAGGGCATGGAGCCTGCAGAAATCACGAAGTCCGGAACACACGGAGCTGGCAGAGCTCGCTTCTTTCTTGTCTGGATGCACGGACAGCGCTTGGGAAAGGGTCGCGTCCACTTGGCAGCTTCCCACATCGTTTCTCTGGGCTTTCACTTCGTGATCAAAGAAAGGCGCTCTTGACTCACCGGCTGCCGAGGCAGGCGTGGGGTGTCTGGATCTGTTTTTAGCAATTATTGACGAGAAACTGCAGAGGACGCTTCGCTGGTCTGCGTCTCGCCCATGTCTCCTTCATCCGACCTGCACCGTTCAGGCCGAAGTGAGTGGTGTTCTGGGAGAAAGGACCCATGGGCCAGGGCGGGGGCGCGGGGGTCGGGCCTGCGACGGAAGGGCGGCCGGAGGGCCGGGGAGAGGCGGCGGGGACCGGGCCGCGGGCGGCTGGGCTGGGCTGGGCTGGGCTGGAGCTGCCCGGGACAGGCACGCGTCCAGCGCGCACGGAGCCCGGGCCTCTGCACGCCCACGGCGGGGCTGTGGCGCCACCTGGCGGCGGGCGGCGGCAAGACGCGAAAGTCAGCCCGGCCCGAGGCACGCTCCCCGCAGAGCCCGGCTCTCTCCGCTTTCTCCGTCCCCAGTGTGTAAGTGGTGGCGGAGCCCTGGGGTTGAAATTTCAGAACACAGCAAGGCTGAGCAGGTTTCGGGGAACAGAACAATAGAATTATAAGTGAATGCCCGCCCTTTCTCAAGAGTAGACAAAGTCACTTTCCTCGGCTTTCTCTCCGCTGCAGGCGTGTGCAGGGCCGCGCTCGCTCGGGGCCTCCAGCCTCAGCGCCCTGGCTGGCTCCTTCCGTCAGCCGCTTGCGCGCCCTGTGAGACCCCTTCCCGCTCCGTCCCGCTCCGGCCCGCTCCGTCCAGCCCCCTGTGAACAGTTCTGCTCTGTTACAAACCTCTGCGGTCCGCTCCCTGCTCCCTGCCGCTTCCAGGAGGCAGGATCCCCAGCGCTGTGAAGTTAGCTTCAATTTCAACAGCGCCCCGTTCCCGTTCCCGCCCCTCCGCTCTGTCACCCCAGCCCTCAGCACCCCACCGGGTGCGGCCTTTGGGACCCTGTGACTGACACTCACGCTTATGGCTCAACAAAGGAGGGGATCACGTGGGGCGGCAGCTCAAGTGACACCACATCTGGGGACAGTGTTGAGGCGAAGGAACTTCCGGTGGGTTGAGCCTGGGAGTGCGCCTTACATTCGGGCTCCGGGATGGTTCTTGTGCTGCCTTGCTAAAGCTATTTAACCTCCGTGAGCTTCAGTTCCTGTATCTGTCAAAAAGCACAGCAACTGCACTTGCACTTGGAGAAATTGTGAGGGTTAATTAAACGATTCGCAGAGAGCTTAGTCTTGGCCTGGGTCCGGCCCAGCGTAAATGATAACGAGAAGTTTCAGTGACAACCGTGCTGCTGACAGTGGCAAACCCATGTTCTAATTCTGCCTCAGTGACCTCTGCACCGTAGGACCTTGTCGGACTGTCCTGTACCTGGAGCCCAGGAAACCATGGGCAGCAGGGACCGTGGTCCACCCACGGCTTCCTCCACCAGCAAGACCTTGCGAGTGGGCTGCCACCCGAGGAGCGGCAGATGACCGGCCAGAAATGATGAATCACTGCCATTCCAGCCACCAGGCTGTGGGGTGCAAATAAATCACTGACAGATGGTTAGAAGGAGTTCGAGTCCAGCCCATCCTGGTGTAGGTTTCCATCTGCTAAGAGGAAAAGATGTGGCGATTCTCCCTCTCTCTCCCTCTTTCTCTCTGGTTTCCATCTGGGCTAGCAGCATCCCTGGGTGCACCGGGGAACATAACTGACCACTACTTTACAACAGGGCTCTTCCACTCTCACCACCAAGCCTGGCTTTCACGGTTGCAGGGGGCACAGCATTCCCGGGCCCCTGAGAAGCTCCTGTGCTGAGCTCTGAGCAGCTGTCTTCCCGTGGGAGATCCGTGCATCTCCCTTACTGTTAGCTCGAGAACGTGGACGCTCTTTATGAGAGTTGAGTGTAAACACTGAAGAGTAAAGTCAATAGTTTTGATGACATCCTTATTACTGGATGCAAATACCCAGGGACGAGTTGGTAACTTTCCAGACAAATCTCTCAGCAGTATTGATCTGCTTAAATTAGCCACATTTTCTGTCCAAACATGAGTAAAATGGCACTTAAACCTCACTCTCATGTTCTTAAAGTCAAGAATTTGAAAAAATTCACTCTTTCTGGGGCTTAGGTGGAGAAGTGTCCCCTGTAAAGTGGGGACGTCTAGAGCCCGAGAGCTTCCACCTCGCCAGCCAGCGGGTGGCTCTGAGGCTTCTGGACAGCACGATGGTGAGGCCAGCCTGTGCGTGCCTCTTTCCCACCCTGTGGGGCTTTCTGGAGACTAATCCACACAGTGCCTGAGGGTCCTCAGGAAACAGTGTCTGAGTAGAAACTGGCTGCATGGAGAGGACTTGCCCCGGCCTGGTGTCAACTGATCCGATTCGAAAAGGCCGATGGGCAGATGCTGCTCTACCTGCGCTTCTCCATGTGCAGGTCACCACTGCTTCAGACGGGCAGGGAGGTCCCTGAGCGGCTCCATGGCCCGGGCCCCACCGTGCGGCAGGGGTGGCTGAAGGAGCTGGGGTGAGACCGCCGTGGGCCGCGGGTGCTCCAGCTCCAGGTGGCCCTGCTCCAGGGCTCCTCAGGCTGCCAGGGAGGCTGCAGCGATTTCCTGTGTGCAGACCCAATGTGGCTCCTCCTTACAGGACCCAGCCTGCCCTGCCTCTGCCTCCTTGCTCAGCCCAGACCCATTCGTTTTTGTTTCTTGCTTTGTTTGCCTTCAACACACAAAACTCAAATGATCCAGGACTCGTGCTCTTTGTTCCCTAACTAAAGCAGGAGCAGCGTGAGAACACGAACGGAGCCCCAGCTAGCCACAGGTCCAAGGCAGGGGGTTTCCTGAGCGCAAGGAAGAACCACGCCGAAAATGGGCTGCTGGCAGGGAGGGGAGGTTGGCGCCTCAGGAATAATTAAAGGAGGACTCACAGCCTGATTGCCTTAGGGTTATTGGACAAACATTCCTCATGTGCCAGGCGTGGTGGGGCACATTTGTAACCCCACACGTGGGAGGCTGAGGCAAGAGGACCACTGCCAGTGCAAGTCTGCTGGACTGCACAGCGAGACCTTGCCTAAAAGTCAATTCATCAGGAACGGCCATGGGCCCCAGGGGACTCCGGTGTCTGGGCTGGAGGTGGCTGTGTGGCTGAGCCCAGGGCATCAGCACAGTGCTCCCTCCTCCTCAGCCTCTGCCACCCTGGTTACCCCAGGAGGAAGTGGCAGCCCCCAGAAATGGCAGGATTCCATCTGGCCTGGCCAGCAACCCCGGGATCATCTGGGACTAAAATCCTGGCAATCATCTAGTACTGGTGGCAACGCTCGGTCTGGGCCAGCTGCTGATCTGTGGCTGGGCCTCAGAGGCTTCCATCACTACGCCCCAGACTGGTGGAGCAGGGACCGAGAGACAGGAGAGGCCTGGGGAGTCCTGTGGGCCAGCCCGGCTGCCCCACAGCACTCTGACTCACATCCTCCTACGCACCGGGTCACTCGGGCTCTTCCACGCAGTCTGGAGGCCTTGGGGCATCCACGGCCAGACTCCGGCTGTCACTGTGGTGGTGCACAGCTTCTCTGATGAGGCAGACCCATCACTGCTGCCGGCCAGCATGGACCCTCCGGGAAATGTGCCGGCCACCCAGTCCCTGCCGGCCAGATGGGTGGTGGCATTTCGACAGCTGATCCTCTTGGGCTCCGCATTTGAAGACCTCTCCTCACCAGAAGCTGCTCCAGCAGAATGCAAGCTGGGATCCACAGAGCAGGCATCGGCTGGGCGGCCTCCACCCCTGCCTACTCTGATGGAGGCTCCCCCAGGAAGGAGGCTGGGGAGACAGAGTGAGGACAGGGAGGTGGCCGGGCCCGCTCCACCCTTCTGCTCCGGGAGGATCTGAGCCAGCAGAGATGGGAGGCCAGTGATTTCCCTGAGAGCTCTGGCCGAGGTCCAGGCCAGACAAGGGGAGAGCTGAAGGGACGGGGATTCCTCAGCTCCAAAAGGGGCGCAGCTCAAGCTCTGGCGATGTGGTTTCCATTCATGTCGCATGGGCAGGGACTCAGCCTCTAGCCGCAGGTGCTGGGGCTCAAACCCAGGGCCTTGTGCATGCTAAGCCAGTGCCTGTTCCAGAGCTGCATCTCAGCCCTGCTTCAGCTCGCGGAAGAGGCTTGGCGCAGTGGGCATGAGGCCTTGCTTGCCAGTTGTGTTCGTCTCTGATGGGCAACAGAGAGGAGGAGAGGGCAGACAGGGTGCCTTCCTCTTCCCTACTGAGAGTCTTCGGGGAAGTCTGTCTCCTGCTGCAAATAGAGCTCCAGTTCTCTCATTTCAACCAGCTCCTTCGTAAAGGCCCAGGCTGGTTTCATACTCACCCCAGTGGGGAGTGGGAGCAGGGGCTTGGACTGAAGCAGCGGCAAGCAGCTCCAGAGAGGAGCCCAATGAGGCTGGATAGACGGAGGGCCAGGAGCCAGGCGGGAAGAGCAGAGGAGAGGACCGGGAGGGTTGGGATGGAAGAGCCGGAGGCCCCCGGCCAAGCTGGGGCTGTAGGGCTGGTTGGAGGGGGAACCCTACTAACTGGAGATGTTCCTCGATTAGCATTGCTGTGAAACGGCAGTTAGTTGGAACCGCAACTAACAGTTGTGTCCAAGGACCGTGCCTGGCCGCGCCTCTGGTATGGGCAGCGTGACTGTGTGGGGCGGCTGTGGGAGCCCCGGGAGGTGGGCGAGGAGGGCGAACTCTGAGCTGCCTGTCAGCCCCAGGCGGCCGGGCCCTCGGCGCTCAGCACCGGGCGGGCAGGAAGCCAGGGCCCCAGGAGGGGCGCAGTTGCACACACGCCGCTCCTCGCTGAGAAACCCATGCCTAAGCAGTGGAAGAGTGCAAGGCCAGACAGGCGGCAGGAAATTCGGAGACGGAGGCTTCTCAAACGAGAAGGAGCAAGAGGCGAATGCGGGCGGGCGGGGCCAGCGGACCAGCCACGACGGTCGGTCGGGTCGCTGCGAGGCGCTCGCTCCCACGGGCGGGCGGGCAGTGCGATCGCTGTGCAGGGCAGAGGCGCAGCAGTGAGAAGGAAGGCTTGACAGAAAGCGTGCGGAGCCCACCCAGATGAAGCCCCCCACCTCCTCCGGTGCGCTCTGGCCGTTAGCGGTCCATCTACGCCAAGACGGATGTTCAGGGCGCACGCAGGCTGATCGCCAGTCTCCCCAGGAACGCTGAGGCTTTGCGCTCCCCCGTGACTCCTTCATTTAGGTCCTGCTTCTTTCTGAGGCAGCCCCGCTCTTCGCATACATTGTTAGCTGGGAAAACACTTTCTCCCTGCGGCGATTACTCACGCGCTCGCTGAGCTGTGCTGAGTGCCTAGCCCCTGCCAAGCCCTAGTCTGGAGTTCCCAGCGCTTATTACTCAGGTGATCTACGCCAGCTCCGCAGAACTGAAGAGTTCCGGTTTGCAGATGAGGAGACAAAGGAAGTGGCTGCATTGCTAGCAAATGATAAAGCTCAGACCTGAGTTGAAGCAGCCTGGCAGCAGATGCCCCAGGCAGTCTCTCCTCCCGAGCCCACGGGCCGGCACCTGCACCCTCCTGGGCACCCAGCCTACCACCTCCCTGCAAGGAGCAGAATGAGGCAAAAACGTCCGGAGCTGCTCCCAAGATCAGGCTGTGAGATCCTGGCGTGCACCCAGCACTCTTGCTCGGTTTCTCCTCTTTCTCTCCCCTCCCCAGCGTCTCCCCAACACAGGCTTACGGGGGCCCACCCAGGAAGGCCCTCTGGCTCACCCGCGGGCCCCTGCCCCCAGGGCTGAGCACACCCAGGTACTGCTCAACGGCGGGGTCTCAGAGCTGCTGCTGAGCCTGCTGCCCGTCACGCCTGCTCATGCCCGAACTCCAGCCCCTCCTTCCCCTAGCGGGTGCTCGGCGCCTTGTGCCGGAGAGCCGAGAAGCCGCCTGCGCTGGGGTTCACCTCCCCAGCGGCAGCTGTTTATTAAGCTCGATGTCCCCTCTGTGGTGCTGGCTGCTGTGAGCCTGGGCCCGGAGGGGCTGGGCAGCACGGGCTCTGGGTTCAGGCAGACCTGGTGCCTCCGCTGTCAAGCGCCACAGTCACCAGGCCAAGAGCTAAAACTTCTGAAGCACAGGTCTTTGTCTTTGTTAAATGCATAATGACGCTAATTTTCATGTTTAAACTAAAACTGAAGAGAGATAGGGTGTGTGTGAGGCAGCGCCTTGTCTTCATGTCTGCAGGGTTTTCCTGTGTCTTCAGTTCCCTTGGGAAGGGCAGGCTGTGCAGTGTCCCCTCCTGTAGGAAGCCCTGCCCAGTGCCTCTGGAGGACACATCCTCGCTCATCTCGGAAGCCCTGCTTGCTGAGAGACAGGCCCAAATGCTCTGAGGAGAGCCGGGGAGGAAAGGGGGACTCTGTGACCCCAAGGGAGAGGCCGCCCCTCGATAGCTGTCTGTGTCCTGGGTGCACCAGGAGAGCCACCAATTCTCAGGGTCTGCTGCTGTCTCCGGTGTCACCCGTGTGACGTAGGGAAACCTCTGCGGGAGTGACAGACAGTCGGCCCAGGAATCTCAGAGCTGGGAGTCTGAGGGCGACTCAAGGTCGGAAGCGAGGGGCAGTGCCTGCTTCCATCAATTCGGGCAGAATTTCCTCCCGTCTGCCCCTGGGGCTTGGACATGTCAAGGAGCCTTGCAGAGGAGGCTCTAAGGGCTTGGGGAGCACCCCGTGGATAAACTCCCCTTGCTGCATGGGAGACCCTTCCTTTCCCCTGGGAGCTTGAGCACCTG